GATGGTGTAGTGCAGTTTTCCAAATGTGGTATAAACATAAAGATAAATCTTCAACAAAAAGAAATTCATAAAGCTAGTAGAGTACTAGCGTTCTAAAAACAGTACAAGAAAATAAAAAACCATGAACATTAATAGTTGTGCTACGGCAGTACCTAGAAAATGATTTCCCTTTCATTAACTGCTCAATTCTGGAAATCTCAGAATCATCATGAGAGTTCTCTGGCCTATCATGCCCCTGGTTTTGATCTTGAGATATTCCATTCTCTTTTTCTATAAGTTCATTGGCATCCATTCTTACACTAGATACAAAGGCTGCAGACTGCAAAACACAAATTCCAAACATTTTAAGGACATTCATTTCACCTAGAAAGGCCATCTAAAGAATATCAGTTAAACATATTTGGTTTACTTTTCCACTTGTTAATTTAGTTTCACATTATGATTTCAAGAACCTCCCATGTACAAGAAAATGTATTGTATTTCTCTAGTATACTTTGATAAAGTACAATCATGATCTATGTTTCACTGGGCATTATGGAAACAGTTACTCAAGCGGGGATAGGAATGGGGAAACACCAACATTTCCATATTTCAAAAAGGATTTGGCTATCAGGATTTCCCCAAATATCTAAACAGGAACGGTTTTTTCCTTTACAAACACAGGAACGTTTTGAAACAGAAAACAACACTTCCTTGAAGAATGCATGCAACATGGATCATGATATCTCATCAAAAGAGTTGAGCCACAAAGAACATTCATTTCCATAGTTATTCATTGCAGGTTTGCAGGTAAAAAAAGATACTCTATTAGCATCATATCAACAATCTAACTAGGTCCAAAACGTCCCATTACTTCTTTTTCCTATGATACACATCCCCAATTCATTTTTCCTAAAATAGGTCCACTTTCATTTTTTATCTCCACAAGTCCATAATATATTGCTCCGCGGTGCACGGATAAAGAATATATTAAATGCTTACAGTTGAAGTGCACTTCTCTTCATCTTTTGCACTTGGTATGACCTCCTCACCTTCTGTATCCAATGAAAAGAGTAATTCTGAGTTTGAGAGCAGAATAATCATAACACATAGAATATTATTGATCATTATGTAGGTAGGAAAAAGTGGGAAATTTATGAGCATGCCACTGTCCCAAAACAGGATGCACAAACCAAAAAAGTAAACACATTGGGATCTTTAATTTCCCCTATGTTTATGAACACAGATCCAGTACTGATTTTTGCACATGCTTCTTCTTTTGACATTTCCAAAAAGGGTTGCAACTGATTCTACAATGATATTGGAGATTTGGAGTGTATGTTTGTGTTAGCATCACAAAACAGTAGCTTTTCTCGATCTGATTAACTAATTTCAGCAAATCAACAAGAAAGCAAACGTAATGTAACCAAAACATCAATTATTGACTTTTTTAGTTTTAAAAATTTAACCTTGAAAAAGATATTAAGGAAAATTAACACAAAAGCCATCATTTTTTGAACTTTTACCTAACTAAAGCATCATGGCCTCATGGGCGCATAATCTCACATAATTAAATTTTGATACTACAAATTTACAAACCCTAGAATATCTAAATACAAAGCTCAAATATTGAAATTAAAAGCTAAACGAGACTGAATTTTGATGCTCAAAGTAAAACTACTAAAATCAAACAATAAACTTTAACAAGCTGTAACTAACCCGCACTAGCATTTAACTGCAATAAACGCGTAGGTATTTCATATATGCGCAAAAAGAGAAATTACCGTTGCTTGTGGTGATAGGAAGAAGAGGGAGAGCATCAGAAGTCGCCCTGGAGAGGAATGACGGGATGATTCTAGTGGCGGTGCCGGATATCAGACGGTAGGCCGGATCGACGAGTTTCGATAACCATCCGCCGCTGCCGGCCTTGTTCACCGGCGCAGCCAGGGGTCGGGCGTAAGGACTAGGAGGTGGCTTTCTCGACGAAGGCTTTTTGAACTTCCCTCCGGCGCCCCTATGCTGTTCTCCGTCATTGTATATCGCCGCCGCCGTAGACGTATTCGCCTCCATCTGTCCCTCAGACGGCGAACTCTGGCCACGCGACGGATCTCTTATAACTTTAGCGGATGCATTATCTACTTTCGTTTTCTCCAAGTCAACTGTCAAAGGACAACTTTGAACAGGTGCAAAGTAAAAACCAAAATTATAAATTATTTTACCTAAAATTATGAATTATTTCATTATGTATTTGGAAATTTGAATCTAAATTTCAAATCCATTGTTTGAGAACTAAAAAACTTTATATTTAAATTTAGACAAAATAGTTTTTATGATATGTTAGAGAACTTCAATTTAGATTTTAAATATGGATTTGATCCAAATTAATGTATGAAATTCATAGTATTTAGATTTGAATTTAGAATAAATTTTTTCAGACTACGTTTGGTACACAGAATTCATATTATGAAATTAGAAGAAAAAAAATATTAACTTTACTGTTTGGTAGCATAAAAATATGTGGGTTTAGAATTAGTAGTGCCAAAATGAATTGAAATTTGAGAATTCAATTCCATCCAAATTAATTCTATAAAATTTTAATTTTGTGAAATTTTAATTCCATAAAATTTTAATTTTGTGAAATTTTAATTCCATAAAATTTTAATTTTGTGAACTTTTAATTCCATAAAATTTTAATTTTGTGAACTTTTTGTTTGTGAACGAAGCATTTTCCAATCCAAATTTAACCTTTCTTTAATTTACATTTTAAAATAAAAAAATATCTTTTTTTATGCAACAACAATTCTATACGTATTAACCAACTCCTATCTCTATCTTTGCCAACTTTAAAATTGAAATTCTAAAAGTGAAATTATATAGTTTCCAAATAATATTTAGATTTTGGAATCATAGGATTTCGAATATTGAAATTGAAATCTAAGATTTCAAATGAATTTAATTATCCAAGCACTATTTTAATTCAAAGCAAACTCATTTATACAACAATAATTCTGTACATATCAACTCGTTTCCATCATTATCTTTGTCAACTTCAAAATTTAAATTCAAGAATTGAAATTATATAAGTTTCCAAACATCATTTGAAATTTCAAATAAGGGAATTTAAAATAATGGAATTGAAATATAAAATTTCAAATAAATTTTAGTTCTCAAACATTATCTTAGAGATATTTACTTACCATAGTTACAGCGATATTTAGGGTCTGTTTGGGAATAGCGCTAGAGATTAGCGTTAGCATTTTGGATAAAATTTTAACATTGCAGATTACTTTAAAAATGCTAACGTTAAAGCTGACCGTAGAGTGTTTTTTCAAAACACTAACGCTAATACCTAACGCTATTCCGAAACAGGCCCTTATATGTCCATGATCTATCCAACAACTAATTCTTCCTCTGAACTAATCATTTCGGTATCACTTCACGAAGTTTAAGAGAAGTGATAAAAATAAAAAGTAGTGGTTGTAATTTGTTTGGAAGAAAGTGAAAGATTTTAAAACACATTCTTTTTGGGCAGAAGAAAAAAGGTATGACGATTAATAATTCGGGACGAAAAGAGTATATTTCTGGTTATTTATTTTTCCGTAGTAAACATTATGTCGTAGGACTTCAGGCGCTACCAACTCTTCTAAACCAATCGATACGTGATAGAAGATGCGTATACCCTAGCTTTATGGTGTCGTTCAAAAAAAATAATTGTAACTTATAGAAAAATGTAATGAGTTATGAAGTGAATAGATTAGCTCTATTGTGTAGACTAATTTATTGTCCAATTATTACCAATTATCGCTTATTGAAAAAAAATAGTTTCACTCTAAAAAAAAATACTTAAATTTGGTGGGGTATTATTTATAAAAACATATTTAAAAAATAAATTTAAATTTAACATTAGAAATTTAAAAAAAAATTGACCTAAAATAATCTCACCTTTCATTTATTTGCGAAAAATATGCATTTTCCAAAAAATCTGTCAAGTGGATTAGCTTTTTAACGGCAACCCAAAACTTGCAGACATGTAGAAAAATAGGATTTTCCAATGACATTTTTGAGATTTTTTTTTCTCAAAATAAAATCATCAAAGTGTTAGACTTTTTTTTAAATTACTCTGTAACTCAAAAGCATTAAAAACCTATCCAAAACTCCAGCCTAATTTACGAAAGCTGTTCTTGGATTCCATGTCAACATCGTGTTGGCTCTCAATATGTTTGGTTAACGTCAAAGCTTTAAAACAAATTTTTTTAATCACTGCTTTAGAACGTGAAAGCTAAACATTGTTTTTATACTTGTATGACAATCTCAATACCATAAAGTTAAATTGCAATGCTATTGTCAAAGGGAGAGTGATATGTGTGACATTGATTTGGCAAATTTGTACTACCTCCGTTTCTCAAAAGAGTTCCTCTTTTGACTTTGGGGGAAAATAAGGAAATGTTAAATTGTAGTTGACTTTCCAATTTTGCCCTTGATGTGATGGGTAAAAGTAAGATGTGATAGTTTAGTTGTTAGTGAAAAAAGTATGATGTGATAGGTAGGGTATGAAAAAGTAGGGGTAAAAGTGGTTTTTTAATAAAAGAGGAAGTGTTTTAAGAAAAACAAAAAAAATGAAAGAGAAAGGGTTTTAAGAAACGGATGGAGTAGTTGAAATGAAAAAAAAAAGGGTCTAAAACTGCACTTCTTTGAGAGAATGGGAGTTAAGAAAAGTCCAGTAGCTTGTAGTGAGACAATTAGTCTAAAAAAAATGGACTCAATCCATTAGAGTCTCTTTGTGCCATCAAAGTAAAAAGACTTCTCTCTAATTAGTTGTTTAAAAAAAACAATTCACTGAATAAGCCCATATTGAACTGTGCCAAGCTGAAGAAACCAAACCAAAACCTCTTTTCAATATGAGTACTAAACAACCAAACAGCAAATGCTTTCTAACATCTTATTGTTGTGTGCATATACTAAGATAATAAAACACACAGCAGAAGAGAACACACAAAACATTAACACTGCAAAGTACAGACACATCCACAACCATTTTATTTATTGCTCTTCCAGAACCAAAACAAAACTGATCAATTGAGAATGCTTCCCCTGATCTCGGGCCTACCGTATCCCTATCCTTGCCAAAGTCTTGACGAACCAATACTGTTTTCTTGCAATCAACTCGTTCCCAAGGATCACTCCAACAACCAAACCACTTACGAACCCGATCGATATTATCATCCACTCTATTTTCAAGTCTGATTCCGAGTCATCACCTTCTTCTTCTGAATGGGATGGAGGCTGCTGCAGTTGGGGCAAAGACCTCGCGTTTCCACACAGTTTGTTCCAAGGTTCAAAAAACAATCCTACATTCCCTTCAAATGATTTGAGCTCAAAGGTACAGAACTGGTTTCCTTGGGGTATAGGGCCAGAGAGATTGTTATATGACACGTCAAATGATGAAAGAGATGTGAGTTTTGTGAGCTCCACTGGAATGCTTCCCGTGAGTTGGTTTTGGGAGAGATCTAAAGATTCTAAATTTTCCATATTGGAGAAAGAAGATGAAATGTGACCGCTCAGACGGTTTCTAGAGAGATTTAGCACCTGAAGCCCTGCAAGATCGCCATAGGCATCAGGAACCTGCCCTTCAAAATTGTTGGAAGAAAAATCTATTTCACAAAAAATATTTGGAATCTTCATATAGCTCCTTTCCAAACCCTTGTTGTTTATGGTCATTGAGTAATCATATCGACCAAAGTCTTCCCCATACCAAGAGGAATTCGGTCCCAAGTCCTGCTCCATGTATCTCATCATGTGACTTGCATTTAATGCTCTCATGGGGTGCGAGGTCTCAACGAACTTTGAAGGCATCTTCCCCCTAAAACTATTGTTGGATAAGTTGATGACTCGCAAGTTTGAGAATTCAAAATCATTATTAATGACACCATGCAACCTATTAGATTGCAAGATAAGGAAACTTAACTGAGTAACTGTTTCCAACCAAAATGGAAAAACATCAGTTAGTTTGTTGTTACCAAAATCAATGAACTCCAGTGAAGAACAATTTGCTAATGACCTCGGTAGCTGCCCTTGTAATTGATTGTTCCTCATACTAATCATTCTCAGTTTGCATTTACTATTCCACGCCGACGGAATATTTCCATCAAATTTGTTTCCTCCGAGAGCTAGCAATGAAAGGGAATCACTAAAATTGCTCAAGCATTGGGGAAGCTTTCCGCTCAAATTATTGAATGACAGATCAAGATGTTCAAGGGATGTGAAATTGCAAATGAGATGTGGAAATTGTCCTGAAAAGCTGTTGTTTGAAATCAGGTAGGAACTAAAGGAGGGAAAAGGTGGTGGGATTGGGAGAGATCCTTGTAGCATATTATGCCTAAGGTCTAAAGTTCTTATTTTAGCATGAGGATGAAAGACGGGATCATCTCGTTCAAAACCAGTTAAAAGATTATAAGAGAGGTTCAGAGAGAGACCCTCTTCAGAATTTTGACCGAGATCAAATATCCATGGAGGAATTTGACCTTTGAGATTGTTATCTGAAAGATCTAGATATTCCAAGGTATTTTTGCTGTTGTGTAGGATTGTAGGAAACTCAGAAAGATTGCATGAAGCCAACCCTAAAAACTTTAAGCTTGGAAAAGATATGACGTTTTTTGTGCTAGTGCTCTTTGCGCTCAATGAAAAGTTATTGTATGACAAAATTAAAGTAGTTAACTTTTTTAGGTGAGAGAAAATGTTTAGTTCCACCCAGTCATTGGTTAACTGATTGTGAGACATGTCGATTTTTATAATTTGAGTGAGGTTCATGAGCCAAGATGGAATGCCACCTGTCAAGTCCAAGCGTGCAAGGTTCAAATGAGTGAGCTTGGTGAGCTTACCAATCCATGACAATGAAGTAGTAGTAAAACTATCAGGGCTGAAGCGGTTACTATCTGGGGTGAAATAAACACCATAAGGATGATAAAAAGTATCACCCCATAAATTAAAAGAAACAAGTTGGGTTAGATTTCCAAGTGACATCGGAAGTTTCCCTGTAAAATTGCAGCTGGAGATGTCTATATCTTCCAAAGAGGCGAGATTTCCAATGGAGGGAGGCACCACTCCCCCAAAACTTGTATAATAGAGTAGCAATGATTTCAGAGGGCTCCCTGAAGGGAAGTCGGGCAAATAACCTCTGAGATCATGATTGTCACTTAGATCGAGCATCTTGAGTTTTGGGAGATGGAAAATGGCAACGGGGAATTCACCCTTGAGTTCACAGTTACGAAGAAGCAGAGACTCTAAAGATGAGAAATTGGAGAGGAGTTGAGGTACATGTGAAGAAGAAATTATCACGTCTAATAGATGGAGCTCCTTCAAGTTGATCATGTGTTGTACCAGTCCTTCTACACTATGAACTTCCAATCCGTGTGCAGAGACATCATCCCTACGATAATTATAAGACAGATCGAGGGAAACCAAAGTGGTTATATTGGAGAGCTGCTGTTGCGGGATTTGGCCTGTAAGGTATGAGGCGGACAAGTCGAGATGAGTGAGACGGGAGAGGTTTCCGATTGCGGAGGGTATGTGAGAATAGTTGAAGTCATTGTAGGAGAGGTTTAGCCTCTGGAGGTGAGTGAGGGTAAAGAGTGCATTGCTACTGGAGTTTATGGAACCGAAGAGGCAGCTCCCACTGAGGTCTAAGCCGATGACATGATCAGTTCTGTCATCGCACTCCACACCCTCCCAGGAGCAGCAGTCGCACCCTTCTTTCCATGATTCCAGTTTTGGTTTTGGATGAACATAACTCCAATCATTATAGCATTGGTTGGTGCTGGCAAAGCTGTGCTTGAATTGGAGCAAAGCAGCCTTCTCGTCAACGTGGCAACGCCTCTCCTTCGACTGGGGCACCACCATAGAATCAGTACTGAGAGAGAGGAGTATGAGTGATGATGATGATGACAACAGTAACAACACCAAGTGAAAGTGAAATGAACACTCCATCATCAAACAAACACAGAAACACTCTTACTGTACTTTTGTTTAACGTACAAATATTAACTACTTGCTGTAATATATGTTATGAGATAATGCTCTGATTTATACCAAGAAATAAATATATCATGTGTTTGAAATGGGAGACAATTCCAATTATTTGTCCGTGTTTGGTGTGTGTGAATTGATTAGTCCCTTTTATACCATATATCAAAGGGAAAACCACCATATGGACATTGGGAAACATGTGGCAGTCATTGATGGAGAACACTGGTTCTGGTCAACCCATCACAGACATTCACACTCCTCTCCCTTCTGGACCATTTTCGAACCTTTCTTCTAAAGTTAAAAAAACCGTGGCGATTTTGTACTATTTTCTATCTAATAGCTCACTAGTGTTACAATCCAATTTTTTTAAAAAAATGGCTTTGGGGACTCACAGAAGCGGAGTAAGATCTAATCAAAGACATAGAAACAATGTTTGTAGATGAAATACGGAGTAACATTTAACATTACAAGTCTATAACACATTAACAACAATCAGATATCGATATATAATTCAGTTTTCAACAATTTTTTAAAAGTTAATACGTGCGCCGGATTAAATCAAGAATAAAATTGTACGCCGTCATATTTAGAAAATCTTTGTCAAGTGAACCGGCCCCACAAGACTAGAGCTTAATTCACAAATAAGTTTAGAAGACCAAGTCCAAAGGTGAAAAGACTGGACTAACCTTCACTCTCTCCAGGTAACAGTACTGGTAGGCAAGAGTGAGACTCAAGACTCAAGTCAACCAAAAGAGGCAATAGTCTATAACAGATAATGGGAATTCTCTTGTTGACTTGACTTGGGTCATTGCTTAATAAATTAGCTATTGCTTCCCAATATAACACTCCCTAATTCACATTTGATTTCATACCAAGGTACTCCGTAACATTCACTTGAATATACTAATTTCCTTTTTAAAAAATATTCCTAATTACTATTCATAGGTCAAACTAACCTTATTTTATGTATACACTTCTATCAATCATTTGATAAAATAAAACAACCTTGTCACTAAATCACTATTCATTTTATAGAACTTCTAATGTAATTTTCTAATATATAATTTTTACCTCCTAACCCCCCTAAACCCTACCCCTGCCCCCTACCTGCCCACCCCACCACAACACCCCCTGCTCCCATCTCCCATTTCACCACAACATATAATACTACATTGGGAAAGTCAATGTCTTTTAGTACTCCCTCCACCCTAAAATATTCTTCCCGTGTTGACTTGTCACGCTTAAGGAATAGTAAAAAATGCAAAACTTTTAAATCTCTTTTTTTATTAAAAAAGTACTAAAAAAGTAGATTAGTGATAAAATAGAAGGGTATTATTGAATTTTATCCTTAAAAAGTATACTAAAAAGGGAAATGGGAAGAATATTTCCGGACGGACCAAAAAAAAAAAAGTGGGAAGAATATTTCGGTACGGAGGGAGTACTATTTAAATAATTTCCTGAACAAAACAACACTATCATATTTAATTAATTGCAAAACCAATTGGTTTTTTTAAATACGCGCAAAAAGAGAAAGTACCGTTGCGGCCGCGACGGGGATGATTCTTGGCGGCGGTTGCCGGATTAATTCACCGGCGCATGGACTTAGTGGCGGCTTCTTGAATTTCCCTCCGGTGCCCCTGTACTGATTTCCATCATCGTATATCGCCACCGCCATAGAGGTAGTCGGGGTCTCGCTAGTCCGGTAATACTCTCTCCCTTAGTCCGGTAATACTCTCTCCCTTTTAATGGGGTACACCATTTGGTTGGTGTACCCTAACATTTTTCTTAATAGAAGTATTAAAAAAGTGAAAATATGCTGAGAAAATTGGATAAATTGTTAGGTGGTCCCAAGGTTCTCATGAACGACATAAAAGAAGGGTTTTTTTTTTGAAAATATAAAAGATCGACTTCTAAACACTTAAAAATTTTGAAAAAGTTTATACTCCGTATTTTACATGTAGACATTAGCATGACAGAAGTAAAACTACTTTATAATTTGAGACAAATTAAAAATAAAAGAAGGAAGATCTTCAGGGATGACATAAGTACCATTTAGTTTTACATTTTAGAAATGATATTTAACGATAACATTTAATTTTAATTTTTTAAAATTAGATGTTTATTTTTTGCACTATTAAAAACTATTTTACAATGTGATTTGAGTGCCTCTTTTGATAACAATTTCAACATTTAGGTCCATATCGTGAAAATACTATGTAAAAACAACATTTAGTTTTATTTTTTTTCAAAGGTAACTTATAATTCCACTATAATAAAATTTTATCCAAAACGTGAATGCTTTCTAAAACATATTGTTCCCAAACTAAGGGCCTATTTGGGAAGAGCGTTAGAGATTAGCTTTAGCGTTTTGGATTAAATTTTAACGGTGCAGATTATTTTGAAAACGCTAACGCTAAACGCTGCCCGTAGATAGCTTTTTCAAAACGCTAACGCTAATCGCTAAAGCTATTCCCAAACAGGCTCTAAGGTAGACTTTTTTGGGAAGAATCGAGGAGAGAAATTTGTTGTGGACCACCCATTCCATTTTTAAAAGGATTGAGAACTTTATTTTAAACCAACCACAAAAAAATGGTAAGTTTATTTTGGGACAAATGAAGCATCTATTTTTATATATTTTCTCAACTTATTGAAGAATAATGAGTTAAAGTCTTCATTGGAAAAAAAAGACTAAAGTATAAGTGGAACATAGAAAATATACGGGAAATGCTTTCAAGCATCTTATTGTTGCATATACTTAGATAATAAAACCGATCCCGTTCACCTGACATTGGGAATAAATGTCATAACATGACATATCCTCTCAGAGCCCTTAGATCTGAACATCTTTAAAAATAACGGCCCAGAACGCGCCGGATTTTATAGAGCCGCGGAAGGATGAAGAGATGTGGTCGTGTCTTTTTCCAAGTTTGCGTCTACTTGCGCGAAACATCAGAAAAATGCACGCAATTCCCGATAAAAAATTTTGTTAAAGGAAACTCAAAAATCAAAATTCAAATGAATTTTTTAACACAACACTTTGGACCTCGCATGGGCTGCCGAAAGTTGTATCAGAGAGAAGACTTCCTTGAAACTTGAATTTCAGAGTACAAATGAAAATCATCAATTTTTTTGGAGTACTCATCTGAATTTTCCTTTGAAATATTTTTACTTGAATTTCAAAAATATATCTTTTTTGTGGATAAAAATGTTTGGAAAATCATCAAATTCAAACTCGATATTTAAAAACTCAAGATGTACCTACAAATTAATTTCAGATCCGCAAAAACAATTCACCTAAAACAAAGCAGCGCCAAAATTTGGTAACAATAAAAATGATTATGAGTCAAGGCCAAATAACACCGATACCCCTCGTGGTTTGCAAAACAAACACCAATACCTCTTCTGTTTTTAAAACTTACTTGGTCCGTCCCTGAGTGTTTGTCCACTTTTGACTTTTGGAACTGTTCATCTAAGCACTTTGACTCATCAAATTCTTTCAATGTGTAAGCCAAAAAATAGTCATGTGTGATCTTGTTTGATTCGTCTTAACATATAGATTATTAATATATAATTTTTATAATTTTTTAATATACAAATTACAAGATAAAATGGATTAAAGAAGTGCATTGGATGGTGTGCAAAAATGAAAGTGGACAAATACTCAGGACGGAGGGAGTATTTCTAAAGTCTCTGTGGTTTCAAAATGCTGCACTCGTGCCCCTTCTAATCATTTTTTGGCCATTTTTCCAACGAATAAGGGGGTATTAGTGCATATTTTTTAAACCATATGGGGTATCAATGCTGATTTTTATTTCTCTATTATTTTTTGTATTTTCTATTTTTCTCTTTTTTTTATTTCATTTATTAATAAAGGTTATTTAAAATTATTTATATAATGTTCTTAAAATTTAAAGTTATTTTTGTTTGAAAAAATTAACATATAATGCATATGTACGTATCAAATTAACAACTTTTGTTTTTCTGATAAAAAGTAAATTTTTTTGAGAACTTTAAAAAATGAGGAATAAAATAAGAAACAAAATAATACAAAAAATAAAAATGAATATCCTTTTTGGATATCTCAATTCTAAGGACTTTTTGGGCGTGTTCAATTTTTTTTTTGTATAAGAGTTTTTTTTGCGTATTTTAATTTTTTTCATTTCGTTTTTCTATATTTTTATTTTTTTATTCTGGGTGCAACTTTTTGAAATCACGAAGATTTTAAAAATAAGTTTTGAAAACAGAAAGGTATTGGTGCCAATTTTCCAAACCACAAGAGGCACCGGAACTATTTAGCCTATGAATCAAGTATACGATCATAGATTTTGCGTGGATGAGATTAGACAAAACGCTACTAACTATGAGAATTTAAACAAAGACCTACTCTAGTATAAGCACAGAAGATGAAGAACACAAGAGTGGAAGACCAAGTCCAAAGACGAAAAGACTCTACTATCCTTCACTCTCCATAACTTGTACGAAAGAGTGAGATAAATTTGCGGATCTGAAAACATGACAACAAATGTTGTTGTGAGAAGAAGGAAATTGATTTATTAATGATCCGTGTGTTGAAAATTAACCAAAAAAATTAAAATGTAAAAGATTTTGGGAAAGATGTATTTAAAAAAAAAGCTTCAACCAACAACCACAAAATTAAGTTTTTGGTTTAATTAATTTTTTAACATAGTATCAAAATTTTGTTGGCCAAAAAATAATATTTTAAAACTCTACTGCCACACAATTTAAAAAAAAACACAATTTCACGTGCAAGACTCGAAGTGATCTGAACTGCACGTATTAGTACCAGTAATACGTACAGAAATTGAATCATGAATAAATTTAATTATTTCATTCATTCCTAGAATAAATTTTTAGTTGTTTCTAAAGTCTCAACCAAACGGACAAATAATCTCTCAGCCTAATAATGTGCATATATATCTGCAAATGCCTTTTTCTTTCTGATTAGTTATAAAAAATAAACAATTCACAGAATGAGCATAAGTTAACATTTCAGATTCTTAGTGCTTACCCATATTGAACTGTACCGGACTAAACTGAACCAACAAAACAAGACCCATTACTGCACGCCAAAAAAAAAAAAAAAAAACTTTTTTCAATCTTAGTATTAACACACAAAACACCAGATGCTTTCTAACATCTTATTGCATTCTTGGACGAGTAATAAAACATTCAACAAAAGAGAACAAACAAAACACTAATACTGCAAAAGTAGGAGTACAAACACATATATACACACACAACCATTTATTTCTCTTTCCCTTCCCAAACACAACTGATCTTTGCCTGCCATCTCTGTATCTTTGCAAAAGTCTTGACAAACCAATAGAGCTTTCTTGTGGTCAACTCGTTCCCAACGATCACTCCACCAACCAACCCACTGACGAATCCAATAGAAATTATCACCCACTTCATTTTAAACTCAGATTCTGAGTCATCTTCGTCGTCGTCATCACCATCATCTGGAGGGGATGGAGGATGTTGCAGTGGAGGCAAAGACCTTGCATTTCCACACTGCTTATCCGAAGGCTTAAGGGACAATCCAGGGTTCCCTTCATATGGGTTGGATTCAAAGGTACAGAACTGCTTTCCTTGTGGTATGGGGCCAGAGAGATTGTTAAAGGACACGTCAAATGATGAAAGAGATGTGAGTTTTGTGAGCTCCGTGGGAATGTGGCCTGAGAGTTGGTTTCGGGAGAGATCCAAACACTCTAAACTCTTCATGTTTGAGAAAAGAGATGGTATGCGACCGCTGAGATTGTTTCTAGAAAGATTTAACACCTGAAGACCTGCCAGATCTCCAAACACGCGAGGAATCCGTCCATCAAAATTGTTAGCAGAGAAGTCTAAGGCACAAAAATGTCAGGAATCATGGGATAGTTCAAGTCAGAACCCTTGACATTCATTGTCATTGAGTAATTGAATGAGTTAACTTCCTGTGAAGTATGGAGGTACGCAGTCATGTATTCCATCTTGCGACTTGCATTAAAGGCTCGCATTGGGTTCGCCATGTTAATGAACTCTGATGGCAAATTCCCTCTGAAATTATTGTTGGATAAGTCGAAGACTCGAAGGTTTGAGAATCCATCACTGCTTCCCAAATCATCTTCAATGGCACCATGCAACCTATTAGATCGCAGGATAAGGACACTCAATGAAGTAATTGTGCCTAACCATGAGGGAAAAGTATCAGTTATCTTGTTGTTACCAAAATCAACGAACTCCAGTGAGGAACAGTTGGCTAATGACCTAGGCAACTGCCCCTGTAATTGATTGTGGCTCGTACTAATCATTTTGAGTTGGCATCCATTTCCCCACGACGAAGGAATATTTCCCTCAAATTTGTTTCCTTTTAAGTCCAACGATGAAAGGGATTGGCTAAAATTGCTCAAACATTGGGGAAGCTTTCCACTGAATCTATTGAATGACAAATCAAGGAGCCAAATGTCTCGAAAGCTGCAAATGAGATTTGAGACTTCTCCAGACAAGTAATTGTTTGAAATTAGATAGGATTCTAAAGTGTAAATGGAGGGAGCTGGTGGGATTGGGAGGGATCCTTGTAGCATATTATGTCTAAGGTCCAAAGTTCTTATTAAACCCCGAGGATGAAAGAGAGGATGTTGTCGTTCAAAACCAGTTAAAAGGTTATGAGAGAGGTACAAATTGATTCCATTTCCATGAAGATTTTGACCGAGATCAAAAACCCACGAAGGGATTTGGCCTGTGATACTGTTACCAGAAAGATCTAGATGAAAAACTGTATTATTTTTGTTGGTGTGCAAGAATGTAGGAAATTCGGAGACATTGCATGAAGCCAAATCTAAAAACGTCAAGTTTGGAAAGGGGGCGACATTCTCTGTGCTAATGTTTTTTACACTCAATGACAAATTATTATATGACAAACCTAAACTATATAAACTTTTAAGGCGAGAGAATAAGCTTAGCTCCAGGGAACCAACAAGTCTGTTAGACATAAGTGAAAGATCATAAAGGTTATTGAGAGTAGATAGATTGGTTGGAAGCAAACCTTCCAAATTATTATATGAAACGTCCAACTCCTCAATTAGGTGACTAAATTGGGACGGGAGTTGACCGGTTAATTGATTATGAGACAAATCGATACGCACAAGCTGAGGGAGACTCATAAGCCAAGAAGGGATCGGGCCAGTAAGTCGATTACGATCCATGTATAGGTAAGTAAGTTGGGTGAGGTTCATGAGCCACGATGGGATCTCACCCATCAAGCTCATATCTCTGAAGTCCAAACCAGTGAGTTTGGTGAGCTTACCGATCCATGACAATGAAGTTGTAGTAAGACTATCGGGGCTGAAGTGATTACCTTCCCAGATCATTGCTTCCCCGAAAGTAGCAATTCGGGTAAGATTACCTAGTGACATCGGAAGCTTCCCTGTAAAATTGCAATTGGAGATTTCTAGTTGGTCCATAGAGGCAAGGTTTCCTATGGAGGGAGGCAACGCTCCCCCAAAACTTGTACCATAGAGCCGCAACGATTTAAGAGGACTCCCCAAACGGAAGTTGGGCAAATAGCCTTTGAGATGGGGATTTAAACTTATATCAAGCATCTTGAGTTTTGAGAGATCAAAAATGGCCACGGGAAAGTCACCTTGTAGTTCGCAACCATCAAGTCGTAGAGATTCCAAAGATGAGAAATTTGAGAGGAGGTCAGACACACCTGAAGAAGAAGAAGAAGAAGAAGAAGGGAGGTTCACGAATGATAGATGGAGCTCCTTCAAATTGATCATGTGTCGAACTAGTCCTTCCAAACTTTGGAGTTTCATTACTAGATAGTTATTTCCATAAGAAGATAGATCAAGGGACACCAAAGTGGTAATATTTGAGAGCTCTCGTGGGATTTCGCCAACAAAGTTGGAATTAGACAAATTGAGATGAGTGAGACTGGAGAGGTTTCCGATAGCAGACGGAATGTGAGGAGAGCTGTCCATGTAATAAGTCCATGAGAGGTCGAGCCTCTGGAGGTGAGTGAGGGTAAAGAGGGCACTGCTGGAGTTTATGAAAGAATAGAGGCAACACTCACTCAGGTCCAAGCTGATGACATGATCTGTTCGGGCATCGCACTCCACGCCACCCCACGAGCAACAGTCATCTCCTTCTCTCCATGTTCCTGCTATTGGGTCATCATATCAGGGATCGGTGTGCGCAACCATGCTGCGCTTGAATTGGAGCAAGGCAGCCAACTCTTCGTCGCGGCAACGTTTCTTCTTCAAAGAGAGTGGCTTTGCCACCACCATGGAACAATGAGATGAAAACAGTAACAACAACAACAAGACCAAGTTAGTTGAAGACACCATCATCAAACAAACACACAAAAAAAACACTCTTACAACAACTGTTGTTCTTTAAGGTACAAAGAGGTATAATTCCATATATAGCTGATGATAAGGCTCTCAGATTTATACCACATAGAAAAAACATACTGGGTATGGTTGTACTATAATGTGAACTTGTTAGGCCATTTTATACTATGAAAGGGAATTGAAAAAGACCATACACATGTGTATGGACTTCTTGACTTTTGTGCAACGGGAAACAGGCAGGGGGCAATGGAAACACCAGTTCTGGTCATCCCATCACAAACATTCACACTCCTCCCCACTTTTAATTTTCAAGAACCCACCAAAGAAGCCAAATTGTTCTATTTGGAACCCTAAAATTTGAGTTGTTAGATCTCAAATTCGAAGGGAGAGTGTATAAATGCGCAATATAATTGTGTAGGAATTTTGCCCTAATCCGATTCAAAATTTCTCAGATTCCCACACATGTATTTGTGGAATAGAGTATTTAATTATACACTTTATCAATCTATTAAAGCAAAAAGGCATAACCTTTTTGTTGGGATTGAAATCTGGATGAGCTTGGACTTCTCAGTGTTTCCCTCTTGGTTTCAACAAATTGCCGCAAGAAAGTTGCAGTGTCGAGGCCGGTTAGTGAAATTGATGATGATTCCTACCTACACCCAAACTACACCCCACCTACGTCAATTGGCAAGTATAAATTTAAAATTTTTATTTTAAAGTCAATTATACTTGACTTTTAGTCAAGTATAATTGACTTTAAAGTCAAAAAATTTGACTTTATACTTGCGATGTGCAATTGACGTAGGTGGGGGAGTAGTTTGGGTCGAGACTTAGCGACGGGTTTAACGGGGTTAGGGAGGTAGGAATCATCAATTTCATGAACGGAGCTCCGTAGGGGACAGTGGCTTCCGTAACCACTGGATTCTAGTGGCTCTAGAACCGGCCTCTATATTTAAAACTTTTTTAATATGATTCGATTTTTGGGATTGAAAGAAATTTGTAGTTATATTTAAAAATTTTCTAATCTCATTCGACTAAGTTTTGTATTAAACTTTTCTGATAGAGCGAAATTTTGTTTGATTCTATTAGTTTTTCCAAAACGAGAGGTGGGGTGGGAGGGAAAGGGGTATTGAGGTGGTGGGGGTGGGGGACGGGGCAGAGAGAGAATGAACATTTTCTTTCGAATTCTAACAGAAATAATTTTTCCTCGATTGAGAGAAAATAATTGAAATATTTTTTTCTTCCACCAATGTCACCAAACGAAGAAAAATAGAATCACAAATCAGTGAATCACAATTTTCTTAGAAAAAAAGATCTCGAGAGTTGATGACATTAACGAGAGTCCAATCATTTGAGCAGAATTGCAATTCCCATTGTACAATTTGATTTCACTTTTAATTTTTCATTTTTTCACTTCAAAATCAAAATTAACTTGTGAAGTATAATTAAAGGGGGTGGGTGTGTGTTCGGGTCGGGGCGAGGTGGAGAGTTTACCGGGAAAGTTAGGAGGGATATGAACCGTTAATTTTACGAACGGGACACCGGAGCATCCCGTGACATTGCCGGCCGGGCAATGACAATGTCATGGGAACCGTCCCCAAAAAGCAAATAAGTTTTTTCTTTTAAATTTGAAGGCTAAACACTCGAATATATTCCTTAACATTAGTAATTCTCAAAAACTTAATTCTAAACATTAACGTACTGATGTCAAAAGAATTACTAATGTTAAGGAATATATTCGAGTGTTTGCTACGGATCTACATATGAGAAAACTAAGTATTTACTTATTACTCACATATAATAAGCATCTGTTTTTTAATTAAAGAATAAAAAAAAAGATTTTTTAATGGGAGAAGATCCACAAATGGTATGCACCCAAGATACACCAAAGAGCCAATCGTTTCTTAAATTTACTCATACTCCGTATATAGTAGTAAAAAATTTGTTTAAAACCCCACCGTTATTTACCAAAATTGTTATACCTCGAATACCATGCCGACTTTGATTGGGGACACCGATTTTGATTAGCACGAATGTTTGAATAATTAAGTTTTGAACAATGGAGTAGACCAATGTTATAAAATATTACAAATAAACGCCGTTTTAAACAACATTCTTAAAACGACTAAACTAAACTCTAATGCTCATGTCAAAGGGCCAGCCATGTAGGTGACATTGTTTTGACAAATTTGCAGTTGAAACAAAAATGGCTCAAAAATTGCACTTGTTTGAATTGAGAGAATTAGAGTATTGAAAAATGCTACATACAATGGATTCCTTTGAGACAACTATTCTAAGTAGACTCAAAATGCATCAAGGGGAGAAGCAGGGCTTATTATAGGAGCTGTTTAGAGCTTAGCTTTATCGTTTTTTTAAAGCCACACGTCGTCTTCCCAACGCTGATTTGAACTGTTAAAAAATCACTCCAAACTCTTAACAGAAACACAATTCCCAAATTCTTGAATGTGAGTAATAACTAATAACCCACAAACTAAAACAGCAGATTCTTTCTTACAACTCATTGCATGATGCATCACTTGATAGTTTTTTTTTTAAATACCCAACACACGAGAAGGATTATAAACACAAAAACACAAACACTGCAAAGTACAAACACAACCTTTTATTTCTCTTCCTAAAGGCTAAATCCAAACACAACTGATCGACTGTGAATGCTTCCCATCATCTCAGGCCTACCGTATCCCTATCCTTGCCAAAGTCTTGACGAACCAATACTGTTTTCTTGCAATCAACTCGTTCCCAAGGATCACTCCGACAACCAAACCACCTACAATTCCAATCGATATTATCATCCACTTTATTTTAAAGCCAGACTCCGAGTCATCATCTTCATTTGTAGGGGATAGAGGCTGCTGCATTTGAGGCAAAGACCTCGCATTCCCGCACTGCTTGCTCCAAGGTTCAATGAACAATCTAGGATTCCCTTCATATGATGTGGAGTCATAGGTGCAGAACTGCTTTCCCTGTGGTATAGGGCCGGAGAGATTGTTATATGACACGTTAAACAATGAAAGAAAATTGAGTTCCGCAAGCTCTATAGGAATCTGTCCTGAGAGTTTGTTTTGGGAGAGGTCCAAACACTCTAAACTCTTCATGTTAGAGAAAGAAGATGGTATGTGACCACCGAGATGGTTTCTAGACAGATTCAGCAGATGAAGACCCGCGATCTCTCCAAACGCATCAGGAATCTGCCCTTCAAAGTTGTTGGAGGAGAAGTCTATTACATAGAAATTATGTAGAATCTTAGGATAACTCATTTCCGAACCTTTGTTATAGATGGTCATTGAGTAATCAAATGGACTGAAATCTTCATACACCCCCATGGCATATAGTTGCAAGTTATGCTCCATGTATTCTAATGTGTGACTTGCATTTGAGCCTCTCATGGGGTTCGAGGTGTCGATGAGCTTTGATGGCAGTTTTCCTTTAAAATTATTCTTTGATAAGTCAATGACTCGAAGGTTTGAGAATCCATAATCACCATCATCATTAATGATGCCATTCAAAGTGTTGGATCGCAAGATAAGGACGCTCAAGGATGTAATTCTTCCCAGCCAATATGGAAAAGTATCACTTATTTGGTTGTTGCTAAAATCCACAAACTCCAGCGATGTACAGTTGGCTAATGACCTCGGCAACTCCCCTTGTAACATGTTGTGACTCATACTGATCATTCTCAGCCCACATCCATTTCCCCATGTTGACGGAATATTTCCATCAAATTTGTTCTTTCTTAGTTCCAATAGCGAAAGGGAATCACTCAAATTGCTCAAACACTGGGGAAGCTTTCCACTCAAACCATTGAATGACAGATCAAAAAATCTAAGGGATGTGAAATTGCAAATGAGATTTGAGACTTGACCTGACAAATTGTTGTTTGAAATAAGGTAGGATGAGAAAAAGGAGGAAGAAGAAGGTGGTGGGATTGGAAGAGGTCCTTGTAGCATATTATTCCTAAGGTCTAGAGTATTTATTTTTGCCCGAGGATGAATTCGTTCAAAACCAGTCAAAAGATTATAAGAGAGGTTCAAAATGATGCCATAATTAGTATCTTGACTTGACTCTAAAACCCATAAAGGAATTAGGCCTCTTAGATTGTTGTCAGAAAGATCAAGTTCTTCTAATGCACTTTTGTTGTTGTGCAGGTGTGTAGAAAATTCAGATAGATTGCAGGAGGCCAGCTTTAAATGCCGTAAACTTGGAAAGCAACTGACATTTTTTGTGCCGATGTCTTCTATGCTTAATGACAACTTATTATATGATAGAAATAATGAGTGTAAATTTTGGAGGTGACAGAATAAGTTTAGCTCCACTGAGCCAACTAATCTATTGTGCTCAAGTGAACAGAGACTAAGGTTATAGAGAGTTGATAGATTTGTCGGAATATAACCTTCCAAATTATTTGACGAAAGGTCCAAATACTCAATTTGGTTGTTAAATTTGGTAGGGATTGGACCAGTTAATTGGTTGTGAGACAAGTCTATAAATTGGAGGCGAGGGAGGGTCACAAGCCAAGAAGGGATCGTACCGATAAGTTGGTTATCATTGATATATAGGTGAGTAAGTCGAGTGAGGTTCATGAGCCAAGATGGGATCTCACCCTTGAGGTTCATGCCTCCAAGGGTCAATTTAGTGAGGCTGGTGAGCTCACCAATCCATGACAGGGAAGAAGTTGTAAGACTATCAGAGTTGAAGTGATTACCATCCCATATATTGCTACTATCCAAAGAAACAAGTTGGGCAAGATTACCAAGTGACTTTGGAAGCTTCCCTGTAAAATTGCAATGATTGAGCTCTATATCTTCCAAAGAGGCGAGATTCCCAATGGAAGGAGGCAACTCCCCCAAAACTCGTATGATCGAGCCTCAACGATGTAAGAGGACTCCCCGAACGGAAGTTGGGCAAATAGCCTTTGAGATCTGCATTGCGGCTTAGATTGAGCTTCTTGAGCTTCGGGAGATTGAAAATGGCCACGGGAAACTCTCCCTTCAGCCCACACTCATAAAGATCAAGAGATTCCAAAGACGAGAAATTAGAGAGGAGGTCGCGAGGTAGATCTGAAGAAGCGATGTTCACGTACGATAGATGGAGCTCCTTCAAGTGGATCATGTATTGAACAAGCCCTTTCAGACTACCAACTTCCAACCCGAAATTCGAAGACAAGTCCAGGGAAACCATAGTGGTGATCTTTGAGAGCTGTTGTTGTGGGATTCGGCCACCAAATTTCGAACCCTCCAGGTTGAGATGAGTGAGACGGGAGAGGTTTCCGATTGCAGAGGGTATGTGAGAAGAGTTGAAGTCATTCCATGAGAGGTCAAGCCTCTGGAGGTGAGTGAGGGTAAAGAGGGAGCTGCTGGAGTTTATGGAACCATAGAGGCAACTGTTTCTCAGGTATAAGCCGACGACATGATGATCATCTTGTTCATCACACTCCACGCCCTCCCACGAGCAACAATCACGCCCTTCTTCCCATGACTCCAGTTTCGGCTTTGAAACACAGTGTCTAAGTACATACCCACCAACATGTTCCACAAAGTGATTGGTGTTGAGAAAGGTGTGCTTGAACTGGAGCAAGGCATCCATCTCATCGTCGTGGCAACGTTTCTTCTCCAAAGATGATAGTGGGGAAGACGGAGACATGGCCTCTGTAGACTGACAGAGGAGTATGAGCGATGATGAAACCAAGAACAACAACAAGTAAAATGAACAACAACAACAACAACAACACTCCATTTTCATCTTTTGAGACTTGAGAGTATGGTTATGAGAGGGGAATAAATGGTTTTGTGGGGCTTTAAATCATGGTAGGCAAAACAGAGTTTTACCCCGTAATTTTATACTGAGTAAATTCTATAATTGGTCCTTTATAACAGGGGGTTTCCCTATTTAGTCCTCTATTATCAAATATTATCCAAGTGGTCCTTCTTTTATGGGTACCTTTCCACAAATAGTCCTTTTTTTGATCTTCTATCATGTTGGTGTTAATTTAAAGGCTAAAAGTGTAATTTCACAATGATGATATATCTTTTTTGTCATACACAATTCCAAAGGCTGTTCTGTTTGCGTCGTTTGTGAATTACAGTAGCTTTTTACGACAACAATAGTCTACAAATGAGATCTTCCGTCAGAATCCTAGCCCACAATCATAGTCATTATTTTTGTGTTATCCGCTTAACCAATATCAGAACACGTCACTAGACATAATGTTGACGTCAAATTATACTTTTAGCCTTTAAATTAACACCAACACGGCAGAAGATCAAAAAAAGGACCATTTGTGGAAAGGTACCCTTAAAAAAAGACTACGGGGGTAATATTTGATAATAGAGGACTAAATATGGAAACCCCCCTGTTATAAAGGACCAATTATGGAATTTACTCTTTTATACTCCATACTCTGGTCACATGACTATGATATAGATATCATAAAACTTAGTGATATAAAAGAGGATATTGCAAAAGAGGTTGTGGTCGAGTGACATCATTGTGGTTGTTCCAACATCAATGGAGGAAGATAAGTTTCCGAATTTCAATAGGCTGAGAAAAAAAATGAATAGATACTAGTAATACTACACTATAATAATAGAGTTGTAGTGATTTTTTCTTTTGTAGAATAGATACTAGTAATACGACACATAACCCAATCCCCTTTCTTTTCTTCAATCTTGAATTTTCTCAATTTTATTTTCCTATATTATTCAAATACATAAAAGAAAGTATACGCTTCCCATCTTAAATTAAAATTTTCCATAATGTATTTTTGAAAACAAAAGATTTTTTTGGAGAATGTTACAAAAGAAAATGAAAAATAAAATATGATGCACCAAGTAAAAATAATAATTGAAAAAAGGTAATGAAAAGAAAGAAAAATATAAAAAATAGTCTTTTTCTTTAACTCCTTATTTTATTTCATCTTTTTGTTCTTCCTTTTTTGAAGTCTTTAAAAAATTATTTTACTTTTAAAAAACAAATAAGTTGGAGTTTTGAATTAGAGATAGAGTGAGTATATGTTATCTAATTTTTTATTTTATTTATTTTACTTTTACTTATAATGAAAAAGTGTATTTTATTTCATTTTTTATCTTTCATTTTCTTTTGTAACATTTTTGAAAAAAAAAATATTTTTTTGAAAATTAGATAAATGAAAAATTTTAATTTGAAAAAAAGGGGGTATATTTTATTTTCCTTATTTGTATAACAAAAAATGCAAATAAAATATTGAAACTTGAAGATAGACAAAAAGGGCAGAAATGTCATTTTATGTCTAAAAATAGGCAAGAAAGGGTGTCTATGCACTATTTAAAAATTACAGGGATTTTACAAATAAATTTTGAAAGTAGAAGGGACTTTGACGCTTTTTTTGTAAACCACGGGGGCATCCATGCTAATACCTCTATTTCTAATTTTCTATTTTTTTCGTAAAAGATATAAGACTCCTATTTTAGAATTTTCAAACTTTTTAACTCTTATCTAGGAAGATTTCTTTTTTGTTTGTGAACCTAGCATTGTTCTTTCTACAATGAGATATTTATGCCAATTTTTGTACTCTCCTAAAATAATTTACCTCTTTACCATTATAACTTCTCGATTTTCGATAATTTTTCTTTATTTGAATGTTTTAACTCGTCATATGATAAAATAAAGTATTCTTATCACATTTTGAGTTGGTGTAATGTTAATTTTTGTTAACGCACCAACACTTTGTGTCAGTGCAAATCTTTGTTAACGCATCAACGCTTTGTGCCGGTGTGAACCATCAAAATGTTAGTGCATATCCTTTATATAAAAATGAGGTACAAATTTTGGGATAATGTAACATGCTCCAAATACAAGTTGTCGAAAGATTTCTAAGTGACAAACACTACACCAACCCCACATTATTGGAGTTTAGTTCACTGACCAAGACATGTGGGGGACAAAATTCCAAAAGTGAAAAGACTCGACTAAACCGATACTGAACTAAGAGTAGTATGGAGTATCATAACATCACACTAAAAAAAATAACTTTTACATCGAATACTTCTACAGTTTAGCATGTTATTCTAATACAGATACAATTATTTTATTAATATAGAACATAATACGAAGTACTTTATACTCTTTTTATAAACATAAAAATAGGGAGAACTCCCTAGATAGGAGGGCTTATAAAAGCTTTTTAGTCCCTTTGTCATCAACGTTAGAGTTTAGTTTTAGTGTTTTTAAAAAGCTATCGTTTTCAAATGCTGATTTTCTGTAAAAGGATTACAGAACAACTCTAAGGCTAGGTAGAAATGTGGTTCCAAAACAGCTGAGATAGTTTCTGGAAAGATTCAGCAGCTGAATCCCCGCAAGATCTCCAAACACATCAGGAATCTGTCCTTCAAAACAGTTGGAGGAGAAATCTATGCCACAAAACGTATCCGGAACCTTCATATAGTTCATCTCCAAACCCTTGTTATGCATGGTCATTGAGTAATCAAATGGGCCGAATTCTTCAAATTCCCAATATGCATTCGGTTCCAATGTCTGCTCCATGTATTTCATAATGCGACTTGAAAGTAACGCTCTCATGGGATTCGAGGTGTTAACAAACCTTGATGGCAAATGTCCTCTAAAAGTGTTGTTGGATATGTCGATGACTCGAAGGTTTGAGAATCCAAAGTCATTGTTAATTGCACCATAAAAACGGTTTGATTGCAATATAAGGACATTCAACACTCGAATTCGTCCCAGCCAAAATGGAAAAGTATCAGTTATTTGGTTGTTACCAAAATCAACAAATTTCAGCCATGTATAATTTGCTAATGTCCTAGGTATCTGCCCTTGTAATTGATTGTGGCTCATACTGATCATTCTCAAGTGACATCCATTTTTCCACATTGACGGAATATTTCCAGAAAACTTGTTTCCTCCCAAATCCAGCAATGAAAGAAAATTGCTAAAATGACTCAAACACTGGGGAAGCTTTCCACTCAAACTACTGAATGACAAATCAAGATGCACAAGTGAAGTGAAATTACAAATGAGTTGTGACACTTTTCCTGACAAACTGTTGTTCGAAACCAGGAAGGTTGAAAAGGTGGAGATGGAGGAAGATGGTGGGATTGGGAGAGATCCTTGTAGCTTATTATTCCTAAGGTCTAAACTTCTTATTCTAACCCGAGGATGAAAGAGAATATGTTCTTGTTGAAAACCCGTTAAAAGGTTATGAGAGAGGTTCAGATAGAGGCCAGTTTTAGAATTCTGACCAAGATCACAAATCCATGGAGGAATTTGACCTCTAAGACTTACTGGAAAGATCTAGGTGTTCAAATGGTCTTTTGTTGTGATGCAAGAACGTAGGAAACTCAGATAGATTGCACGAAGCCAATCTTAAAAATTGTAGGTTTGGAAAGTTGAGATTTTTTGAACTAATATTGGTTAGGTTCAACGACAAATTATTATGTGATATGCTAAATGAAGTTAAATTTTTGAGGGAAGAGAATAAGCTTAGCTCCACCAGTCCGACAAATCTATTATGATCAAGTGAAAGACTATGAAGGTGACAAAGACAAGATAGATATGTAGGAATAATGCCTTCCAAATTGTTATACGAAAGGTCCAACCTCTCAAGTAGGGGACTAAAATTGGATGGTATTTGATTTGTAAACTGATTGTGAGACAAGTCGATGTGTATGAGCTGAGTGAGGTTCGTGAGCCAATACGGGATCTCACCTGTCAAGTTCAAGTATGGAACTTTCAAATGAGTGAGTTTGGTGAGCTTACCAATCCAGGATTAGTAAGACTATCTGGGCTGAAGTGATTACTACGAGGGACGAACCAGTCACTGCTGGAGCTGAACCAGTTAAGCTTGAATCGGACAGATTGAGATAAGTGAGGCTTGAGAGGTTTCCAACTGCAGATGGTATGGGAGAAGAGTTGAAGTCATTGAAGGAGAGGTCAAGCCTTTGTAGGTGAGAAAGGCTAAAGAGGGAGCTGCCGGAGCTATGCTTGAATTGGAGCAAGGCAGTCATCTCATCATCGTGACAACGTTTCTTCTTCACAGACGACAATGGTGGTGATGGTGGCAGTGGGGAGGAGAGACAGTGTGCCACCATAGAATGACTGAGGAGTATGAGTGATGATGAGAACAACACCACCAAGCAAAAGGATGACTCCATATTCAAACACTATTAGTTCTTGAAATGGTTATAAGATGAAGAAGAAGAAAAATGTTTGGTTGGGCTTAAAATAATGGAAGAGAACTTTTTTTCCATATTGACTGCAGGATTGTGTGATGGGCAAAGTTCATTTATGGGGGGGGGAGGACAAATAAGTTTTGATATAATAAAAGCTAGTTCTCATCAAATAATTGTGTTCTACTTAATAAGTGAAATTCATTAGTATTTACTTACCCCACCCCACCCCCACCCCCACCCCCCAAAGAGGCCCAGAGCAGCAATCACACCTTAATTATTGAGGGGAAAGGACGAAGTCAACCAGAAATACTTAATTTTTTTGTCAGGGGAATAATTGATAACATTTATTTATTTTTTAATTATCATGATGGAAAAAAGACCAAGTCAACTACTATTTTTCCATGTTGACGGCAGGAGTGTGTGATGGGTGACTAATAAGTTTGCAGTTTTTTTTTTGGCTCTTTGAGGCAAAATTTCTGTAAGAGTATAATGTAAAACTTGTTGAACTAAAAAACATTTTTCTAACACACAAAAAAAGCAATTTCCATCTGAGAAAAATAAAGCATCAAAAATTACCTTTTTATGGAGCAGGGAATTGAAGAGTTGCATACAAACTTGTGGTGCTGAGAAAAGGCTTCTAAACTACTTCCTGCCTCAAACAAAAAACATCAAATTGACCTTTTTCTTTTTAGGGTGACTTTTTGCTGTATTCAAACAAAAATGAAAACTAAAAAAACCGGCAGTAAAAACCACTTAAGCTCAGTAAAGTCATCATTTTTAGACACTGGTTTGAACTGTTAAAATTGTAACTTAAAACAATTACACGAAACTTTAACACAACATGTGTGCTTGCAAAAGCAACTCACGTTCTTTTTCTTTCTGGTTAGTTTTAAAAACAAAAAAGAAAAAAAAATTCAATTTGAAATTAACAAGCCTAAATTAACTATTCAGATTCTTGGCAGTTACCCATTCAGAGTAACCAACAAATTAACAGAATGATATCCGACGAACCGACAAATACTTAAAAAAGCTTCTTCAATCTGAGTAATAAGCCACAAAACAGCATATCTTTCTTACATTTCAATGCATGAATCACTTGACAATAAAAAAATACACAACAGAGAATACCCAAAACACTGATACTGCAAAGTACAAACACATCCACAGCCATTTATTTCTGTTTACTCCAAACACAACCGAAAATGCATATAGTATGCTTCTCCTCTCACGCAAACCATCGGCTCTGTATCCTTGCGAACTTCTTGACGAACCAATAGTGTTTTCTTGTAGTCAACTCATTCCCAACGATCACTCCACCAACCAAACCATTTAGGAATCCAATCGAAATTATGACCCACTTTATTTTTAAGTCATATTCTGAGGTGTCATCTTCTTCTGTGATGGATGGAGGCTGCTGCAGTTGAGGCAAAAACCTTGCATTTCCACATTGCTTATTCCAAGTTTCAAGGGACAATCTAGGATTCCCTTCATATGATTTGGAGTCAAAGGTACAGAACTCATTTCCTTTTGGTATAGGGCCAGAGAGATTGTTAAATGACACATCAAATGATGAAAGGTAAGTGAGTTTTGTGAGCTTGGTAGGAATCTGTCCTGAGAGTTGGTTTTGGGAGAGATCCAAACACTCTAAATTCTTCATGTTTGAGAAAGAAGATGGTATGTGACCGCTGAGATTGTTTCTAGAAAGATTTAGCAACTGAAGCCCCGCGAGATCTCCAAACGTGTCAGGAATCTGTCCTTCAAAATTGTTGGAGGAGAAATCTATACCACAAAAAATATCGGGAATCTTCATGTAGTTCATTTCAAAACCCTTGTTTTGCATGGTTATTGAGTAATCGAATGGGCCAAATTCTTCAATGACCCAATAGCTATTCGGTTGCAATGTCTGTTCCATGTATTCCAGCTTGTGACTTACATTTAAGGCTCTCATGGGATTCAAAGTGTCAATGAACTTTGATGGCAGCTTCCCTCCAAAACTATTGTTGGATAAGTCGATCACTCAGAGGGCTGAGAATCCAAAATCATCATTAATGACACCATGCAAACTATTAGATTGCAATTTAAGAACGCTCAACTGATTAAGTGTTGCTAACCAAAATGGAAAAATATCAATTATTTGGTTGCTACCAAAATCAATGAATTCCAGTAATGCACATTTGAGTAATGATCTAGGCAATTTCCCTTGCAATTGATTTTTGCTCATATTAATCATTCTCAGTTGGCACCCATTTCTCCATGCTGACGGAATATTTCCATCAAATTTGTTTCCTCTCAAATCCAGCAATGAAAGAGAATTGCTGAAATGGCTCAAACATTGGGGAAGCTTTCCACCCAAACTGTTGAATGATAGATCAAGATGCATAAGAGATGTGAAATTGCAAATGAGATGTGAAACTTCTCCAGAAAAACGATTATTTGAGATTAGGTAGGAACTAAAGAAGCTAAACGGTGGTGGGATTGGAAGAGATCCTTGTAGCATATTATGCCTAAGGTCTAAAGTTCTTATGCCTACCCGAGGATGAAAGAGAGGATGATCTCGTTCAAAACCAGTTAAAAAGTTATAAGAGAGGTTCAAATAAAGGCCATAAGTAGTATTTTGACCGAGATCAAAAATCCAATGAGGAATATGGCCTCTAAGATTGTTGTCCGAAAGATCTAGATGATGGAATGGGTTTTTATTGTTGAGTACAAATGTAGGAAATTCGGATAGATTGCATGACGCCAATCCTAACCATTGCAAGTTTGGAAAGTAGATGACATTTTTTGTGGTAACATTTTTTAGGCTCAATGACAATTTATTATGTGACAAAATTAAAGAATTCAAATATTTGAGGTGAGAGAATAAGCTTAGCTCCACCGAGCCAATGAATCTATTATGATCAAGTGAAAGTGTTTGAAGGCTATGGACATTAGATAGATTTGTAGGAATAGAGCCTTCCAAATTATTGGACGAAAGGTCCAATGTTTGAATTAGGTTATTAAAATTGGATGGGATTTCACGAGTTAATTGATTGTGAGACAAGTCAATATTTGCAAGTTGAGGGAGGCACATAAGCCGAGAAGGGATTGGACCACTAAACCGGTTATCGTTCATAGATAGATGAGTAAGTCGAGTGAGGTTCATGAGCCAAGATGGAACCTCACCCCTCAAGTTCATATCTCCAAGGTCCAAATAAGTGAGTTTGGTGAGCTTACCGATCCAAGACAACGAAGTTGTAGTAAGACTATGAAAGCTGAAGTGATTACCCTTCCAAATATTATGCCCTAAAGAAACAAGTTGAGTAAGATTACCGAGTGACACAGGAAGCTTCCCTGTAAAATTGCAATAGGAGATCTCTAGTTCTTCCAAAGAGGCAAGATTTCCAATGGAAGGAGGCAACACTCCTCCAAAACTAGTATGAGAGAGCCACAATGATTTAAGAGGACTCCCTAAACGGAAGTTAGGCAAATAGCCTTTGAGATCATAATTGCCATGTAGATTGAGCATCTTGAGCTTTGGGAGATTGAAAATGGCCCCAGGAAACTCACCCTCCAGTCCACAACCAGCAAGATGCAAAGATTCTAAAGATGAAAAATTTGAGAGGAGGTCAAGCACCCCTGAAGAGGAGATGATGTTCACGTATGATAGACGGAGCTCCTTCAAATTGCTCATGTGTTGAACTAGCCGTTTCAAACTGTGAAGTTCCAAGCCAAGCGAGGTATAGTCATCAAGAGAAGAGATGTTCATGTATGATTGATGGAGCTCACTTAATGTCAACCGTTGAACTATTCCGAGTGATGGGTAGTAATAATCAAAATAGAGAGAGAGATCAAGGGAAACCAAAGTGGTGATTTTGGAGAGCTGTTCGTGTGGGATTCGGCCAGTAAAGCTCGAACCAGACAGGTTGAGATGAGTGAGGCTTGAGAGGTTTCCGATTGCGGACGGTATGGGAGAAGAGTTGAAGTCATTGAAGGAGAGGTCCAGCCTTTGGAGGTGAATGAGGGTAAAGAGGGAGCTGCTGGAGTTTATGGAACCAAAGAGGCAACTGTGACTGAGGTCTAAACTGATGACATGATGAGTTTGTTCATCGCAGTCCACACCCTCCCACGAGCAACAGTCACCCCATTCTTTCCACGATTTTAGTTTATGACGATGATGATCATCATCATCACACTGATTAGTGTTGATCACAAAGCTGTGCTTGAATTGGAGCAAGGCAGCCATCTCATCAATGTGGCAACCTTTCTTCTTCAAAGATGACAAAGATGGGGAGGAGGGAGACAGCGTCCCCATAGAATGACAGAGGATTATGAGTGATGATGAAACCAAGAACAAGTAAAATGAAGACTCCATATTCAAACACTATTCTTCTCTAATAAAAATATTCTTTATATTAGAAGAAAGAAGAAAATTGTTTTGTTGGGCTTTATGTAATGGAAGACTAAACATTGTTTCCAAGGTTGAATGCAGGAGACAGGAGTAGTGCATGATTGGCAAAATTCATGTACTATTATGAAAGCAGTGTGAAAGAGCAAGTGAAAAGTCCACTCCCATTTTCCATGCTGACGGCTGGCAGTGTTTACTTACTGTGTGACATTGACTAATACGTTTTGCTCATTCCAAGTTAGTTTCTGAGATTAATTCTTGCTGAACTAAAAAAGGTAACCAAAGTTTTTTTTGTAGTGTTTGGTTGGAATTCTCCAAAATTTTATATTCTAATTTCTACATTTGGACATATAATGATTTTCACGAACCCACCTAATGCCCCGCCCCTGCACCACCCCCT